CCTGAGGGTGATTTCTCGCTTTCTGTCTCTCTGTCTCTCTCTGTCTGTCTGGCGAGCGCACGCGCCCTAAAGCAAAAAACCTCTCCGGAAAAAAATAATAATAATAACAAATAATTATATAAATTATAGCTATTTTAAAAATAATTATATAAATAATTATTTTTAAAATAATAGTAAATGAAACTAAATAAATCTAAAAAAAACTTCAACAGATATTTCATTTGGGAACCAGCAGATTTGGGAACCAGCAGTGACAAAGTGGTTATGTCACTGGACTCCCACATATCTGACCACAGGTTGAGTCCTGGACCTGGCAGCTTAAAACTCATGCTTGACGCATGTACCTGCATGCCCAAAATCCCAAGAGGAGAATGGAGGAGAAGGAATTGCAGTGTGGCCATTCCCGCTGGGGGATGATTTCTCACTTTCTGTCTCTCTGGTGATCATACATGCCCTATAACAAAAAAATCTCCCTCAAAAAAAGAAAAATACATATCATTTGTATCATTTTAAACCATAGTTATGTCTCATAACTAAAAATTATTTAATTATAATTTTAAATAAAAGAAATTAAATCATAAAATAATGTCACAGTAAAGTAGAATTCAGTCATGGTCCCACTGATTTGGAACAAATGGGCCTATTTTCTTTAGCATCGTAATAGTCTAATGTAGGTTCATGATCTTTGGCAAGAATGTTTGCATCATTTATTATGTTTTCATTATTCAAAACATCTTCAGGCAGAGTCATAAAGTGATTTTTTTAAAAATGTGCCTCAAGTCTAGCATCAGCCCTGATAACTGAGATTCCATGCCCTCAAGGAGATTTGTAGCCCAGGGAGAGCAGGACTCCATGGAAGTTCTTCCTGGCTCTTTTCCATCTGTTGTTTTAAAGCAAGAAGGTGTGTGAAGTGCAGGCTCCACAAGCTCGTTAAGAACAGCTTCTGAGGGAGTTCTCCCCGGTTATTTCTTCCAAAGCTTAGCAGGCCCCTCTGGCTTGTACAAATCCAGAGGAAGGAAATATTGAAAAGTAAAAGTTATGAAAGATGAAACCCTTAATATTTACCAAAGCAGACTCATTTTTCTTTATTTCGAGATGCTGCTCTGCAATATTCCATGTGAAATCAGATGGATTAGAGAAAAATAAAAGCTGATAGGAAAATTTTTGCATAGAATACAAGGTCTTCTGGATAAACCACTGCAGTTAAAGAACCAATTTTTAATTTAAAGCTGAAGGAAATGACGGGACTAGTTCTCTTGGGGAATGTTCAAATAGTTCTCACTATCACTTCCCTTCAAGAAAGGAAAAACTAACTATAAAAATCAACTTCAAAACAAAACTAAAATGTTAGGTGAGGAGATTTTGTAAAGTAAAAGCTTTTTAAAATCATTGAAAATGTGTATTATAAAAAAAATGCACAGATTTCAATTTCTTTCACACCAAAATTAACTCATATTTTTTTTCCTTGAACTTTTTCTTTTTTTGAGAGGTTTTCACTATAGGGCGCGTGCGCTCGCCAGACAGACAGAGACATAGAGACAGAAAGCAAGAAATCACCCCCCAGAGGGGATGGTCACGCCGCAATCCCTTCTCCTCCATTCTCCTTTCGGGATCTTGGGCACGCACGCACACGCGCCCGGCGTGAGTTTTAAGCCACCGGGTCCGGGACACGACCTGCGGTCGACTACGTGGGAGTCCAACGACATAGCCATTACGCTAACTGCTGGTTCCCGTCCTTGAACTTTTTGAAGTCCCATCATGTATCACTTAAATCTGAATCTTTCCCAGGTATAAATAAACCCTCTGTAAGGATTCATTCTTATTTCCACCAAAAATGCTAGTAAAGTAAAATCACATTTTCCCAGTGGTTTACATTATGTCCTAAAGACTTAATCCAGCAAAAAATAATTTGATTCCTAAAGGCAGTAAACAATATGCTTATGAGTGTACTAACTCGTAATCATTAATAGCAATGCTCAGGATATTATAAAGTAAGTTAATTATGAAAGAAAGCTTTCTGTGGGGCTCGATCCCCACTAAAGACCAAAAACCCTGAGTCTCTTGGTATTGTCCTTCCTTCAGCTCATTTTTAAAGGCTGAATTACATTTTCTTTTTTTTTTTTTGGAGAGGTTTTTGCTATAGAATGCATGTGCTTGCCAGAAAGAGAGAGACAGAGAGACAGAAAGCAGGCAATGACCCCTCAGGGGGGGTGGCCATGCCACAATCCCTTCTCCTGCATTCTCCTCTTGAGATTTTGAGCACACACTCACACGCACCCAGCATGAGTTTAAGCCACTGGACTTAACCGTGACCAGGACTGGAACCATGGTCGACTACATGGGAGTCCAGCGACACAGTCATTACTCCAACTGCTGGTCCCTGATTTACAATTTAACAAGTACTTTCAGATCAGTAATGTCATTCAATTCTCTCAACTGGGAAGTAGTTAGGAAATCTATTATATCACAGTTATAAGTATGAGCAGTAAAGGATCCACTCAAATATTGCTTCATCTCTTATAACAAATATGGAAAACTATTAACAATCATTCATTCTATGTAGAGGGCATACTCCTTCAAACACTTGTGCACAGAGATTCATAGCCATTTTATTTGCAATAGCCAAGAATTGAAAACAACCCAAATATCCAATAGAACAATAGATAAATCATAGCACATTCTTAGCACAGACTACTTCTCAACAAGAGAATGAACTATAGGAATACCTAACAACATAGATACACATCAGAATAATTGTATTGAGTGAAAGTAGCTAGGTAAAAGGAGTACATTATGATTTCTATTGTAGCAAATTCTGGAAAATGCAAACTAATTTATAATGACAGAAAGCAGATCAGTAGCTGCTTGGGCTGGATGACATAGAGAGGGGTAGAAAGGAAAGGGACATAAGTAAATATTTGGGGGGTGATGAATATGCTCACTATCCTGATTACAGTAATAGCTTCCCAAGTCTATAGTGTCAAACATATCATATACCTTAAATATATGCATTATGTTTATGACAATGATGCCAGAATAAAGCATCTTTTCTAAATTGCTAGGACTATGGTCTTGGTCAAGGAAGCTCTCCAGAGCTGCATGGACTATAAACTATTGTTTAAAACAAGCAGGAGGCTCACTGGCAAGGAAGGAAGTCCCTTCCCATCTACTTTAGTCATATTACATCAGAGGATAAAAAATGAACTAATAGTCTAAGAAAAAAAGAGCAACAACGCTAATCTCATCTACTACAGTTTGAATATGTCCTCCAAAAATTTATCTGTTCAGTCACTATAATGGGATTAAGAGAGTAAAATCTTTGTCCAGTTACAGTGTCAAAAGATGAAGCCTTTGGGAAGAATTAAGACTAAGGTCATTACACTGGCTACCAGGTTTATCAGGAAAGGAAATGAGACCAAAACAGAGACCCAAGGACCGCCACTCTGCTCTGCTCTTATCCTCGTGATGTGATCAGGACTCTACAGAGACACTTACTAGATATGGTCCCTGAACCTTGGACCTCCAAACCATGAACTGAATCAACTCTTATTTTTATAAATCACCCAATGTTGGGTATTTTCTGTTATTAGCAACAAAACAGACTGTGGCACCATCATATCTGTAGAGTGTATTTGTCAGCAACTATTATTTGAAATGTAAAGAAAGAAAACTGAACATAGATTTTAAACTAAATATGCACAGAGGAGTTCAAATTTGGTGACCAAATGGCCTTTTCTCAGGCACAATGGATGGCTCACTGGCAAAGAAGGAACCTATCATACCAAAACAAGCCCAGACTAGAGGTTAGGCAGGCCAGGGTTTGAACCTTGACACTGCTGTCATTTTCTTTTTCTTTTTTTTCGTTTTTTTTTTTTTTTTTTTTTTTTTAATCCTTAGGGTTTGTGCACTTACCAGGGAGAGAGACAGACAGACAGACAGACAGACACAGTGAGAGGGAAAGTAATAAGTCACCCCCCATACTCCCTCCTGCTCCCCGGGAAGATGGTCATATTGCAACCCCTTCTCTTCCATTCTCCTCCCGGGATCTTGGGTATGAACCTGTACCCAGGGGAACCAGCAGTTAGCGTAATGGCTATGTCGTTGGACTCCCATGTAGTCGATGGACTCCCATGTAGTCGACCGCGGTTCACATCCCAGACCGGGTGGCTTAAAACTCACGCCGGGTGCGTGTGCATGTGTGCCCAAGATCCCAAGAGGAGAATGGAGGAGAAGGGATTGCGGCATGACCATCCCCTCTGGGGGGTGACTTTCTCACTTTCTGTCTCTATGGCTCTCTCTCTCTGTCTGACAAGCGCATGCACCCTATAGCGAAAACCTCTCCAAAAAAAAAAAAAGAGAGAGAGAGAGAACATGTACCCAGCATGATTTTTGAAGCCACTGGGTTCAGGACTCAAACCTCAGTTGGCCATGTGGGAGTCTAACAACATAACGACCATGCCATCTGCTGGTCCCAATGCAGCTACTTTTTTTTTTTAATAATTATTTTATTTAACTTTTTATTTCTTATTTATTCATTTGTTTATTTCAATTTGACCAGAGAGGGACAGAGTGAGAGAGAGAGAGGGAGAGAGAGTGAGAAAGCAAGCCGCCAGGTCCAGAACTTGAACCACGGTCGGCCATGTGAGAACCCAGCGCCCTTAACCACCATGCCACCTGCCGGCCCCAATGCTGCTACATTTTTAACTAACACAATCTCTCTGTACCCATTCACTTATCTGTAAAATGAGGATTGTGCTGCTGAAAAGATTAAATAAGAATGAATGTAAACTTCCTAGTGCAGATCATTTACTCAGTAGACAGACGATTATTTTTCTTGCAAGCTATCCCATGGTAGTTTGAATCAATCCCTCAAAGTTTACTGATTAAAGAAATTCAAAAACATAGTGAACAGAACACCAGTTCTAGAGGTCAGTCTCAGATAAATTACCTTCAGGAACAAAGTAATAATTGAATGCCATTCAGGAGGTGAGAAGCCCTTTTACAAAATACTTTTGAAAAATTCCATGGCACCAGCACCACCCAAAATGTGAGGATGTATAGGATATATCAATATTTGCAGCTTCTTCAGAAGGAATATGAGGAAATCATGGGTCTTGAGAAGAAGACCAAAAGTGTATATAATCTTTGAGTTTAGGCTCAAATCCTAATCAGAAATATCAGATAAAGTTATTTACTTCCTGAGATTCATGTGGCTCTCAAAATTTCTATCCAAGTGTTGAGCCAGCAGGTGGTGTGGTGCTTAAGAGATTGGACACTCCCACATGGCTGAACACAGTTCAAGTCTCAGACCTACTGGCTTGCTTTCTCACTTTACCTCTGCCTCTCTCTGGTCAAATTAAAATAAAAGAAGGAATAAACAAAATTAAAATACATCTATCCAAGTTCTGATGGAAGTTTATGTGTTTCCTTCAAAGCTCTGGAAAAACATGAGAGACGTGGAAGTATTTTTTTTTTCTTTTACTTGAACTAATTTATTGACTGTCTCAATAAATGCCTTAAAAATTCTTTCTCCCTTGCATGTTCCCTTTGTGTATGATGAAATGAAGACCAAAGAAAGAAAGAGATGGGTAATTCAAACTTTTTTATGTTTCAAAATATAGTATATTTCCCCCCCCCAATTTGTAGGCTGAGTTTGTATAGATAGTTTTTATATATGAAGTTGAGGATATGCCAATGACTTTCTGATTATTTTTTATTTAAATGAAAGCAATTGAACAATTACTGGGAAAAATAAAGAAACCTCTAGTTAAAGTCACTCTTAGAGAAACATCAGCAAAAGAGGCTTTCATAATACTCACTGCCTGATTAGGAAAACATAAAAACACATCTGTAATGCAAGTATGCTTTTACTATTTCTCAAATGTCATTTGTGATAGGAAGTTGTCTGTCTGAATATACACACCTATATGCAATTAACTTAAGTCTCAAATAAAGCAGAGAAACTAATTTGCACCTTGGTTCCAAGGTCAGTTTCAACTGGGAAAAGGACCCACTATATCTTGGAGAGCTCAGTAATAAAAGATTCAGTTTTGACTACTATAATTGACTAGAGAAATAATTAACTGTAGATTGACTGATTATGTGGTCTGCAGAACTGCCAAGAATACACATTATTGGTTCCTGTGGCCTTTAACACACTTCAGCATCCCTCTATGTAGATTTATGGCATAAACTAAAAGGTAAAACTTCATTCTTAAGGACAGAGCTATAGAAAATCCTGTTTCATTTTTATATGCAAGAATGTATTGAATTAACAAATATAAAATAAATACAGTTAACTGCGTACTACTTTCATTTCTGTTTTTATACGTTCCTTCTACACTGTTATTTTAAAAGCAGCTTGGGGAAAAGATTGTTATGTTTCATTTAGAGGTTCAGTTTATAATTAAAAATATACTTCTTGGGAAAAAATAGAGAAAAGCCTTAAGAACTGGAACTTTGACTTGGTTACAACATGCTATTCTATAGGCCTTCCTAAAGGATCCTCTTTGTAAAAGAAAGGACAATTTATCCTCCTTCCTGACTGGCACTGTATGACTTACATGACCAACAAAAACATTGGTCAATACCAGAAACTCTTGACAATTGCAATTTTTTTTTTTCAAAAGACCTAAAGTAAAACTCTTTGGTCACTTGACTCAAATAATAATCCTTGCTCAAACTGGACTTAACCTCCAGCTGATTTCAGAACTAAAATATACATCTATTGTTTTTCCATATTTAAAATTTCTAGTAATCATTGAATGTTTTAAAGTGGAATATTCTTTAGGAGACCTTTAGGAAAAAGTTGAGGCTATCCTGAACCTTTGTATCAACATAGTGACTTTTTTTTCCAAGCATGTAACGATGGCTTTGGGTGGGATGTGTCCTCTGATGTCTATAGTTCAAGCTCCACAGAGGTGCAACTTGTGGCCATCTTCACGAGAGACAAGACAGAAGCAGAAAGCCCTGCAAGTGACCTCCTGTCTTTTGATTCCAACAAAATTGAAAGCGAAGACATCCCTCATGGAACCATGGAGGAGGACAAGCAACCAGAAATATCTCTATCAACTATCAATCTCAGAAGGCTGATCAGCAGAGTACTAGAGGAAGATCAATCCTTGGATGTGGGGACAATTCAGTTCACTGATGGTCAGTTGGTAATTTCATAGCTCTGAGCTTATTCTTATTTTGAAACAGAAACTAAAAACTATGACCGTCCTCTGAATACTGTCATTTTTAACTTGGCTCCTGTAAAGTCAGTCATTATTTTGACAGGCACATCACATAGTGTATCATTTCTGTCTTTTCTCACTCTCTTCTGTGTCTCATTTAAAGCTCCTATGATGACCACTTCCTACTAAGGACAACTCTAGGACTCTCCAAGGGTTTCAGATCAGTACAGGCCAACCATGGACAGCTAGTGGAGTGCAGGAGAAAAGAACCCATGGACAATTCTGTTACCCTTGACACAACCTGAAGAGATTCCCTCATCTACAAAATTAATCAGGTCTCAAAAGGAAACAGAAGGCATACTCAAATTAAGATAATTATAGAAGAGCTTGATAAAGGGACTATTTATAAAGTTTTGTCTATATCCAAAAGAATAAAGCAGTTCCCTAGGACTAGAAACAGCAAGATCTCATTAATTCTGGGCCTGAAGGGCCTAATGATCCAAGCCATCCAAAAGACAGAGGGCCAGAAATCATTGATATAATCCATGTAAGTCAACCTCCTTGGATAGAAAGTAGCAGTAAGAGGAGGGGAAAGTCTGTCCAACATGATAAACAAGACAATCAGGCACACTCAGATTTTAGGGTTTTTTACAATTTAATACTTTTATTTCTCTTTTCCTCTGCTATTTTTGTCATTATTTTTTTTTTTGAGAGGTTTTTGCTAAAGGGCGTGAGCGCTCGCCAGAAAGACTGAGAGAGACAGAGAGAGAAAGCAAGAAATCACCCCCCAAGGGGGGATGGCCACGCTGCAATTCCTTCTCCATTCTCCTCTCGGGATCTTGGGAATGCATGCACACGCGCCCGGCGTGAGTTTTAAGCCACCGGGTCCAGGATGCAAACCGCAGTCGACTACATTGGAGTCCAGCAACATAGTCATTATGCTAACTGCTAGTCCCGTCATTAATCTTTTAAAGAAATTTTTTTGGAGAGGTTTTTGCTAAAGGGCGTGAGCGCTCGCCAGAAAGACTGAGAGAGACAGAGAGAGAAAGCAAGAAATCACCCCCCAAGGGGGGATGGCCACGCTGCAATTCCTTCTCCATTCTCCTCTTGGGATCTTGGGCATGCACGTACAAACACCCAGCGTGAGTTTAAGCCACCGGGCCGGGACTCCTACTGAGGTTGACTCATGGGAATTCAGCAACATAGACATTATGCAAACTGCTGGTCCCAATTTTATTTTTGTGTGTGTATATATACACACACACACATATATACACACACACACATATATAATGAACATAAGAATGTATTTTTTCTATAGTTAATTATTTTTATTTATTTTTATACATTCAACCATTGTATATCATTACAGCTTATAAAATGAATTTTCCCAGTATGAATACATTTTATATTAGTCCAGTTAAAGATATTATCATACATGTTATCATCAACAGATAAGTTTCCATTTTTGGTGTCCCTTAAATGTTTTGTTTCTTTTTCTTCTTCATTCCCTTCTTTTCACCCTCCCCTATTTCCCACCCTCCTCCCACACTGACTCTTGTATCCATGGTTGCTCTCTGTGCTTTTTAATCTTCTAATTTTTCGGTTTCTGCAATAGAGTTCAGACATAAGCTATATATTAAGTGGGGACATACAATGTCTCTTTTTCATAGTCTGGCTAGCTTGCTTAGCAGTAAATCTTCCATATCATCCACTTTCTAACAAATGTCAAAGTCTTTCCATATCATCCACTTTCTATCAAATGTCAAGGTCTAGCTTTTTTTTGGTTTTTTGGGGTTTTTTTATGGCTAATTAGTATTCCATAGTGTATATTTGCCATACTTTTTCAATGCATTCTTCTGTTCTTGGACATTTAGGTTGGGTCCAGTTTTAGCAATTGTGAGTAACCCTGTAATAAACATGAATGTACAAGAACTTTTCTGAGTATATTCCTATCCTTTGGGTAGATACCCAGGAGTGAAATTATTGGATTATACAATAGTTTTATTTGTAGGTCTTTGAAGAACTCAGATTCTTCAGAGAGTCTCCAGGAGCCTGGAACCCCTCAGTAGGCTTAGTAGATAGCAAAATAGATGGACACTAGAAATGTCATTTTAGGATGACATGGCACAAAACTATCATTCTCTGCCAGTTCTATTTTTCTGGTTTAGAAAGGCAAACTTAACACTGCAAGACTTCATAAAGATCTCTTAGGACAAGATGAAGGGCCAGGGAACCTCATGGGTAAAAAAAGGTCAACTTCAGATTTATCTTGGAGATCATCTGATACTATGGGTTTATCTTTTTATTTTTGAGCCTTCTGGGGTCATTTGAGAATCAGGCTTTTACATGGACATAGGTCCTCACAAATGGTCATGGTCATTGGATCTGGTATTTATTCTCACTATTTTTTTTTAACAGCTTTAGTCACATTTTTATCCCCACTGGCTTAGCCAATCAGCCTGTTAGTTCAAATCTGTAGAATAAAACTGAACACCCAAAAGAATCCACCTTAGTAACTCTTATCACATAAACATGCAAGATGTACCCCATGCATTTGTTCTTTTTTATATCATGCAGATGAATGACCTTTTTTGTGTGTGTGTAACACCGATTTTTTTAATGATTTGTCGTACTACTCTTTAAGAACTGCTTATTGGGACCAGCAGTTGGTGTAATGGCTGTGTTGCTGGACTCCCAAGTAGTCAACTGCAGTTCAAGTTCCGGACCAGTGGTTTAAACTCACGCCGGGCATGTGTATATGTGTGCCCAAGATCCTGAAAGGAGAATGGAGAAGGGATTGTGGCCTGGCCATGCCCCCTTGGGGTTGATTTCTTGCTTTCTGTCTCTCCGTCTCTGTCTGTCTTTCTGGTGAGCACACATGTCCTGTAGAAAAACATCTCTTTAAAGAAAGGAAAAGAAAAGAAAAGAAAAGAAAAGAAAAGAAAAGAAAAGAAAAGAAAAGAAAAGAAAAGAAAAGAAAAGAAAAGAAAAGAAAAGAAAAGAGAACTGCTTATTGTTACATTTATCAACCTTTCCTGTTCTATTGTCTAGCCACAAAAGAAAAAGAAAGATGCACTCAAACCTTATTTTTCATCCACAGACACTGTTGGGTCATTGCCAGACTCCAGTCCTGACATCCAGTCAGGGCTACCTACACCCCCTGCTGATATCACAATGGTGAGTTTTTTGTCTTTTTGTTATCCCAATAGGAACAAAGCTTCAAAGCCAGCTTAAGAACTGAACATAGAAAAATTCCCTTTGCAATGATAATTATAATCCTTTCCTGTTTTACAGTTAGTACTTGGTTAACCTACTTTCAATGTCTATATTAATAAAATAAAACATGTATTTCAAGTATCCTAAGGTTCAAAGTTTTCTTCAATTTAGTTAGATATTTGTTTCAATTAGATTCAGGATGTGCTGTTTTTGATAAAAACAAACATATTTTCATGAACTGAAAAGAATAATTAGAATATATTATTTAATTTTAACTTTCAGAAATAAATACAAACATGGACCTACTTTATAAATATGTTTCTAAGTCTTAAGTGTAAGGTCTTATCTATGTATTTATGGAATTTAATAAATATAAACTAATGTCTTAGAAAGTAAAAACAATAAGTTTATACTTAATTTAAAGCTATATTTGTTTAACTTATACCAAAACTATCACTGGAGTATTTACAAAAAGATACATTGACTAAATTCGATTTCCTCTTGAAATGAAAAAAACAATAAATTCTAACATGAATGACACAGTTCAAATTAGAATACTTTGAATTGGGTTGTCAGAAAAGTCATAATGCTTTTTTTTTTCTATGCAAAAATGCATCATGACTTTTTCAGCAACCTAGTAGTTATTAGTTAACCCTATTCAGGCCTACTTGGTTATCCAAGAAACCAACAGATCATATTTTGCCACTGTTGTCAATGAATGGTATCCTTCCAAAATGTATTTCTATATCAAAACCTTTATCCATTGTAGATTCAAGTCACCTACAAAACTATTTTCTTAAATTTAAATGGAAATTTGAACCTCTGAAGTATAATTTTTTTCATATATATAGAAATGTACCTTCTCAACATGTCTTTCTAAATTCATTCTTCAGGATACTACTTTGAGTCCAGCAGTTCCTCTTGGTGAACCAAAACTTGAAACAGTGGACAGAGCAGAGGATGGTCTACCTGGTGAGTCCTTTCCCACACAGTCTACATTAGATGACAACATCCTCTATGAGGAATCCATCTACGACACTGCCCCAGAGACCAGTGAAGAAGATATCCTCTATCCAGAAGAAGATTTGTTCTCACCAGGCATTCCAACAGAAAAACAATCCATTGAACAATCTCATCTGGGCTTTGAAACTGAGAGTCCATCAGGACAAGGTAAGTCATAAGACCCAAGTCCATGACAAGCAGCAATGACTGCAGAGAATTAGCTCTTTACTGTCATATGTATAGCCATGCACTACATAACAATGTTTTAGTCAAAAACAGACTGAATATACAGTGGCCCAAGAGATTCTAATAGGCTATAATATATAGCCTTGATGCATAGTAGGTGACACTATCTCAGTTTGTGTAACTACACTGTATGATATTAACACAATGTTGAAATGCCTGACCGGATACTTAAGAACACATCCCCATCATTAAGTGACATGACTGTATTCCTATATGCCACCCATAGGTTGACCATTAGTGCTGTCTGCTCTGCTACATATGCTTCTTTAGTGCAAACTAACACATATATGATTAACAAATAGGAAGCCCTGTTGATTTACTTTTGAATTGCCAAGCACGATAATTCTGAAGCAATAGGATCAAACTTTCTCACAGCTAAAAATAATTATTTTGCAGTATCTGAAGAACAGCATCACTTCCTCATGTTCTAATGGCTAGGCAGCTACACAGACAATCTATATCCAAAGGGAGGAAACAAAGACTTTCTTTTTCTCCCTAAGTTTATTTATTTCTTTCCTTCATGTGCAAGAGAGAGAGAGACATCCTTAACAGATTTCTCATGGGGTCATCTTCCCCTCAGCCTTGCAGCCAGTCAGGATTGCAAGCATACCCAGTGCATTCAGGTAGACCTTGGACACAAACCTGGAGCCTTCCCATATGGTCTCCAGCCTGACACAGCAGAAGCCCCACTGCTTGGGACACAGCTGGGTCAAAGACCTTATCTTTTGGTTGGAAAAGTTATCAAGGAGTTTATGGCCATTTATAATTAACCTCAATCCACATTTGGAGTTCCAAATCATTTAAAAGCTGACTGAACAAAACAATAACAAAATTTTGGTGAAATGATTGATATTAAATGGTCACAGGATTCTCTTCTTTCATTATATCATAAAATCTTCTCATAAGATCAGTATTGCAAGTAGATTAATAAAAAATGACAGTATATCTGGGGCATTATTGTGGAAGCACTTTTGGAGTTGCTTTACTGTTCTCATTTTGTTTATACATTCCTTCCATTCATGATAATACCAGAGAACACTAAAGCTGGAAGGAATTGTGGAGATAATTGAGTTAAGCCTTAGTGTTCCACAGATGAGAAAAACAAGGCAAGAGATGTGAAGTGCCTTCTGAAGGTCACACTATAGCTGGTCACAGAATTAGGACCATTGTCCAAGTTTTCTCTGTTACACTATGATTGGCTTCAGTAGCCCCATCCTTCAAAAATATATTAGGCCAGAGACCAGCAGTTAGCGTAATGGCTATGTCGCTGGACTCGCATGTAGTCAGCCACGGTTCGCATCCCAGACCTGGTGGCTTAAAACTCATGCCGGGCGCATGTGCGTGCGTGCCCAAGATCCCCAGAGAAGAATGGTGGAGAAGGGATTGTGGTGTGGTCATCCCCCCTGGAGGGTGATTCCTCGCTTTCTGTCTCTCTGTCTCTCTCTGGCGAGCGCACACGCCCTATAGCAAAAAACCTCTCCAAAAAAATATATATCTGTATTAGGCCATTGGCAAAGTCATGACGTATTTGCCTATGTTTTTCTATGTAAAAATGCATCATGGCTTTCCCAACAACCTAATATATATCCTAAAACTTGTTTTACCCTCAAATCACACTCTCATCTCACAATTTCACTACTCTTTCTATTTTCCTAAGTAGTCTAAGCCTCTGAGTCTCCACCATCTCCCTAAGGTTTCCCTCGAACTTTCTTCTGTGGGTCATGATCAGGAGAACGACTTGCATTATGGAAAACCATGTCCTGTTTACATCAAACGTCCTACTGTGGAAGACCAGCATCAGGGGTTTTCCTTTATGGCTGTCCCTGAAGATGTGCAGTGAATGCCAAGACCCAGTTTATTACAACAGTTCTAAGAGGGGTTAGATTCTGACAGCCTATCTTAATTCAAGGATTGACTTTATAGTATTGGAGAAATAAATATACTACACACTCTTTAGTCAATGCTAAGAAAAAATTATATCTCATAACTGATTTTGATTAGTATTGAGCAAAAAAAGAGTTATATTTGCTGTCCTGGGTGCCTACGATACAAATATTCCACATTGCCAATGTAAAAGAAGATTCATATGTTTTTATAATCCCCCTAGTTGGGAATAGAAATGACAAATCTGGGAACAGCAAATGGTGTAATGATTACATCACTGGACTCCTACATGGTCAACTGCAGTTCAAGTCCCAGACCCAGGAGCTTGAAATCCACACCAGGCACATGTGCATGTGTACGTGCCCCAAATCCACAGAGCAGAATAGAGAAGAAGGAATTGTGGTGTGGCCATCCCCCAGGGATTGATTTCTCGCTTTTTCTCTCACTGTCTCTCCAGCGAACACATACACCTTATGGCGAAAAAAATTCTCTCTAAAAAAAAAAAAGGAAAGAAATGACAAATTTAAAAAAAAAAAAAAAAAGCCCTAACCAGGAAAAATTGCTTATTTTAAGTATCCTCAGACTAGCAGGGGGCATGGAAACCACATGGAGAACTGTAGGTTCAAGTCCTGAAACCAGCAGCTTGAAATCATACTGTGTGCATGCCCAAAATCCCTAGAGGAATCTGGAGGAGAAGGGATTACAGTGAGTCCATCCTCCCTGGGAAATGATTAAATGATTTCTCACTTTTCCTCTCTCCCTCTCTGTGTCATTCTGTGCCAAAATCAATTATCTAGAAATAGTATTTCATTCCATTATCAATTTTGATCACACCACTCATGATCACTAAGATATGTCATCCATTGTCATGCTTTTGTGCCTTTCAACAAATCATTTTTTTCTTATGCCTGTGACACCCTTCCGTTCTTCCAACCTGATAACCTCCAACTCTTCCTTGAAGTTTGAGTTAACATACTCCATCTGTGAAGTTTTCCCCCAGTGCTCCCTGAAAAGGATTCATTATTACCATCTGTTCTCTGATTCCATGACAAAAAATCATGTATACCTCTATCAAACATTTACCACACAGTATTGAAAATATCATTATATATGTCTGGAATCCCTCTAAGACTAAATTTATAAAGTGCAAGGATGTGTTATTATTCCTTTTTTTAAATGTCTGTGCTAAACACAATGTCTGGCACAGGATTGTGGTTTCATGACTCTTTCTCACTACTCTAGACCTTATTGGACCTATCAGTCTTCCCAGTCTCAGAGAGCAATCTTGAAGGCTATGCCCCTTTCTGTGTTAGTCCCCACTCAGGTCCACGGAGAGCCTCACTTGTCAGCATGAGAGTGCTGAAGAACTCTACACATTGTGTGATATAACTACCACATTGATTAGTGTCAATGTAGGCATGTAGCTGGATCCCACATGGTGACAGTACAATTTGAGTCCCAGACTCAGTAGCTTGAGAATCTTACCAGGTGTATGTGCATGCAAGGCTAAAGTCCCAAAAGGAGGCAGAAATGGAGGAGATGGGATTGTAGTGTGACCATCCCATACTAGAGATGCTTTTCATTTTCCTTCTCTCTCTCAATCTGGTGAGTGCCTGTGCTTTCTAACAAATTGAAAGAAAAAAAAATGTTCTGAGAGGTCAATGAGAAAACTGTTCTCTAAAGGAAGGAAAGAATGGCCATTCAGCAAAGACGTGCAATTACACTCCATCCCTAAACATGATGGTCACAACATCCAGTAAAGATAAAAATTAAATTCAAGTCTGTCTAACTCTCAAATATGGTACTTCTAACTTTAAATTTTTTTATTTGTTTAATTTTATTAATTATTATTATTTAATTTGCTACTGGGCATGTGCAGAGAGAGAGAGAGAGAGAAAGTGAGAAGCAAGTGGCCAGGTCCAGGACTCAGACTGTGGTTAACCATGTGGGAGTCCAATACGTTTAACCACTATGGCACCTGCTGGCCCCAGGGTGCTTCTAGCTTTAACCTGGGTGTCAGGTAAGATATTACTGTCCTTCAAGATTTCAGCTTGGGAAATTTAATAGCTTGGCCCAAATTTCAGCAATTCTCAAAAAAAATGATTGTTGTTTTTGTCTCCTACAGAACTGTTATTAGTACATCTCTCTACCTGAATCTGTTCCCTTCTCTCTCTCCCTCCACATTCTGGAGAAATACAATCTAGATTTTGTCATTCTCTTTCATCTGTGTTTATAGAACATACTCGTATTTTTATGGTTATATCAGACTTTATTGCAAGTCGAGGTGATAAGAAAAGATGTTAAATTGTAACACGACCGAGAAAGCAGCCTCTAGTTAGATACAGATGTCCCTGTCTTAATGCCTCAGATACACTGAATTCTGGAAACTCCTCACAGGCCAATACTGCCTTGGTTGTTCTCTGATGCAGCATGCTAATAAGTCCTTATTTCCCCAAAACTTCTGTCATGACTACTCTTTTTTTTTTTTCAGGCTGCTTTCAACCCCCTCCCCAAGTTATGGTCTAGTTTTTTTGTAGAGTAGTGGTGTGTTTAATCTCTTTCCAACAATTTGCCAAAGAAAAAACATGTTTCTAAGATAAATTCTACTACTTGTAAAGAAGCAAAAGCAATTAAACATGGCTGTAGTTAGGAATTACATCATCTCCTTCCTTCCACACACCCCTTCACATGAACACACCCAGTGCATATTCAGATAATACTATGTGCCACAGTTTTCAGTAACTCTTGGCAATTTCATCTCCCTTTGATATCATTGTTTCTCCTTCTTCCTTCCTCAAGGAAATTTTCTTTCTCTGCCTCCATTTTATATAAGTCCATTT